AAGTGCCACACAAGCAGCCCAAAATGCTGCAAACTCCTCCACCTGATTACGCACCCACTTAGATATCCCAAGTGTGTCGTTACTGTGTTTGTGAGTGTGCATCGCTGTGTGTGTGTGTGTGTGTGTGTGCTTTACTTGCTTAGCTCAGCAGTGCCTCTTTCCCGAGCCTATAATTGAAGCTATCAGATGGGATCGCTGCCAGACGGGTAGATTACACACAGTTAGGCCCTCTCTCTCCAGGGATTAGACCAAGACACACACAGACACACACAGAAACAGAAAGACAAGAAAGTAAACTTGACTTCATCTTTAAGCCGTCTCTCTATCCAGGATGTGATCGACACCACGTGTGAAGATTACTACATCAGTGAAACAGCAAGGACCAACAGAGTATCAGAAGTCGATATCTGTGAATACCGGACCACCACCTCTCCCAGCATCCACTTGGAAAAGGTCAAATGTCAACGGGGTTGAGTCAGTAAACAGCCCGAGAAGACGAAGGAGGACCAGCATTTCTGAGACGGGACAGAGGTGTATGTATTTTAAAAGGTAAATATATGACAACATGTTCCCTGAGGTTTCATGACAAGTGATCCAACTGATCCACTGAGGCCAAGAGATGCACCTTCACCAGTTCCAGTGCACAGATAACACTTTGGTGCATTGGCATCAAGACAGGCACCTCTGGATGTGCAATAAAATATGGAATTGTAATCGTAATTTAATATATTTCCACAGCTGCAACTGGTAACTACACAACTTGATATACTACATATACTAAATATTACATTACATGTAGTGTAATGTAATATTTAGTTCAGGCCCACAGTGGTCAGAAGCAACGCTGATGGGGTTTTATATATATTATATGAGGCTTTTAGCAAAGAAACAACACAATATGAAGCGGATATACGGTCTGACAGTAGACTTTATTATAGTAAATGAAGTAAGTGCCTTTTGTATTTTTCTTGTATCCGTATGTCTCCTGACAGTTACAGGCTGTGACTGTAAAAGACTCCCAGTGATGCTGAGTGTACCCTGACTGCCGTCACTGGCAACACGCTCCCGTATCTTCACAGCAGGCTCCATTCTCATCGGCCCTGACTGCTTGAAGGCTCCTCAAATAGAGACAAGAGCAGTCAACGTTGGCGAGGACATCCTTATCCCTGCCTGTGTAATCCTGCGTTCACACCAAAAGTGAAGGGAATTTTTGCCACGCTTTACTCGATCGCGTCTTCTTAGCCGACTAGTTGTAGTTCATTCGCTTCATGCGCGCCGGGGAGGGGGCGTGGCTTATCTCCTAAAGACAGTTATCATCTCCGCTATCCACCATGGGAATAAACATCGTTCTGCTCTGTACTTGTTTTGGAAATGACACAAACGTCGGACACCACCTGACTTCAGTCTGTGTGCCTGTGTGTGTGTCTCAGTTTCATCAAGCCTATCTGAACGCTGATTGGCCTTTGCAAGACTGCGGCGGGCAAAGTTTGCTTCGCCCTTAAAAATGATCTTCCGATGCAACTTTTCTCGTCTGCATTCACTTTGCATGGAATCTACTCGCGCGAATGTCCTTCCCTTTTGGTGCGAAGCGGCATAAGTGTCTCTGCTGTTCTGTGTCGAGCTGCAGCTCCGTGATGTCGCCAGTGGAAATCTGTGTTTGTACGTGTGAATTCATAGTGCGTGCATGTGACACGTGCTGGATCTTAAAATGATAACCTCTTTCCTCCTCATTCTGTGCTGTATATCTTTTGAATCTCATTTTATTTTTGTCTGATGCATGTTTCTCTAAGAAGCTGGTTTTCACTGTTGAGCCCTGAAAAGTTATTCAAGCAGCAAATATGCATGAACTCCTTTAAGGTGGATAACCACACATCATTTGTTTAAAACAAGAAAAGAAAAAAAGTGGTTTGAATATCATTCATAACTGAGTCTTTCCTTTTTTATATCTCATAGGGTACTTCATCACAACGAGGCGTATGAACAGACGGGATGACTGCAATGGGGAAAGATGGAGAAGACATCATCAACGTGTTGGTGGTACCTGTCTGAAGGACCTCACAAGCGCCGTGGCTACACTGTTGCTGTTTGCCCTCAACATCGACTATCCAAAAGAACTGAAATACACAAAGTTGTTCCAAAGGGCCTCATGAACATCATGGAGGACAGTGTTCCTCACTCGTCCATGGTTTGAGAAACAGACTCCATGATGACGAGTTCTTTTTTAATTGTGTGTTTGGCACATTTGAAGTTCTCGTTTTGTTTTGGAGATTACATGATGAGCAGACCGTGGACATCTCAGAGAAGAAAGTATTCCTACCTCAGTACTGTGGTACGGTAAAGGAACCGTGGTACATATACTTAGCCATTTTGATTTCTTCCAGTAAGTGTAATACTGCATGGCTGCTTAATCTGCAACGCGGAACGATTTCCTGTTCACTCAACTGACAAATTGTGATCCTTGTGGCAAAAGCACAATTTGCCATTTTCAGTTTCTGTGTCTACGCTTTCACCTCAGTGCGACATGTTTGTACAGACCTCGCCGTGCTCTGTACATGAGGTCCTCAGCGATCACAGATCAGTCCTTTACATGCACATGTAAGTAAGTGAGTCTATTTTTCTGTTAATATTCACATATTGAGTGGTGTGGGACCAGGATGTCGAACAATGACAACTCGGATTCCAACACATGCTCTCTGCTGATGTGTAAATTGCTAGTGTTGCCAGCAGAGGCAATACAAGCAGCTCCACAAGCCATTTGGTTTTCTGATCTACGTGGGATTTTCCAAAATCAAAAACCCTCCAAACAGACACACCTCCTCTCTCGGACACCAGTTGTGTTGGTGCATCTCTGGTCTCACGTTGATCCTCCTTCATCGCTCGTGTTTTCATGTTGATTAGTTACGGTGGTGGCGGCCGTGGTTTGGCTCAGCTGCAGGGGGACGGAGAAGGCAGTGGCTCGGAGAACGGTGCCAGGAGGAGGCACAATTGGCCTCAGGTGGAATTAATGATGTCTGTATGTTCTGCCTTAAGAAGGAGACATCCTTCACGCGTCAACTAAGGCAACATAAAGACGTGTGAAATAAAGACTGTTAAAATGCTACGCTGTATCCTCGTCTTTCCACGTTCCCCCAAAGGACCGCACGTTAGTTACTTCTTGTTATGAAGTTATAACCACAAGTCAATCTGTACACGTACGACCGCTGCGCGCACACCAGTATGACGCTATATGAAACATTTGTACTGTATGATAATTTAACACCAGCCAAAGCCAAACAGTCTATGTGTACAACCTTTGAACCACCTGACTGCGACAATCCGATGTGGTCACAGGTGCAACAAAGTAGGGGGTAGCTCTTCACCTGTACTGCTGGGTTGATACGATTTAAATATACACTTATCAAAAGAAGACAATTGTTCATTCTGTACACATGACATCCATTGTAGTCTGTCCATCAGGAGAGGGATCCTCCTCTGACGTTCTCCCTGAGGTTTCTTCTCTTTTTTCCCCATGGAAGGGTTTTCATTTTTTGGAGAGTTCTTCCTGTGCCGATGTTTTTGAATTTTGCGATTTTGGGCTATACGAAATTAAATTAATAAATAGAAAATTAACCACCAACAGGTCCAGAATAAATAAAAAATTAAAACAAATTGCAAACACAGATATATTATAATAATAATCTAGAATTTCCAAATGGACCTTTTTGAGGTGTAGGAAACACACACCACAATAGTTCATTTTGTTTTCAGTTGATTTGGGCTACATTGCCTGGAAGCCTCTTTAGAAATCCTCTTGATTGTCTAGTCTGCTACGTGCAGTCCCTTCCTGCTGTAGGGCCTGGGTCCCCAGCATGTCAGTGTTGCCTCCCAGGTGGGAACAGCCCTTCCTGCTGTGGGGCCTGGGTCCCCAGCATGTCAGTGTTGCCTCCCCAGGTGGGAACAGCCCTTCCTGCTGTAGGGCCTGAGTCCCCAGCATGTCCGTGTTGCCTCCAGGTGGAAACAGCCCTTCCTGCTGTAGGGCCTGGGTCCCCAGCATGTCCGTGTTGCCTCCCAGGTGGGAACAGCCCTTCCTGCTGTAGGGCCTGGGTCCCCAGCATGTCAGTGTTGCCTCCCAGGTGGGAACAGCCCTTCCTGCTGTAGGGCCTGGGTCCCCAGCATGTCAGTGTGGCCTCCCAGGTGGGAACAGCCCTTCCTGCTGTAGGGCCTGGGTCCCCAGCATGTCCGTGTTGCCTCCCAAGTGGGAACAGCCCTTCCTGCTGTAGGGCCTGGGTCCCCAGCATGTCCGTGTTGCCTCCCAGGTGGGAACAGCCCTTCCTGCTGTAGGGCCTGGGTCCCCAGCATGTCAGTGTTGCCTCCCAGGTGGGAACAGCCCTTCCTGCTGTAGGGCCTGGGTCCCCAGCATGTCAGTGTTGCCTCCCAGGTGGGAACAGCCCTTCCTGCTGTAGAGCCTGGGTCCCCAGCATGTCAGTGTTGCCTCCCAGGTGGGAACAGCCCTTCCTGCTGTAGGGCCTGGGTCCCCAGCATGTCAGTGTTGCCTCCCAGGTGGGAACAGCCCTTCCTGCTGTAGGGCCTGGGTCCCCAGCATGTCAGTGTTGCCTCCCAGGTGGGAACAGCCCTTCCTGCTGTAGGGCCTGGGTCCCCAGCATGTCAGGGTTGCCTCCCAGGTGGGAACAGCCCTTCCTGCTGTAGGGCCTGGGTCCCCAGCATGTCAGTGTTGCCTCCCAGGTGGGAACAGCCCTTCCTGCTGTAGGGCCTGGGTCCCCAGCATGTCAGGGTTGCCTCCCAGGTGGGAACACCCCTTCCGCTCACAGGTTGGGGGTGGCGGGTTTGTGCTGCTGGAGGCCCAGCTAAAGTTTGAGCTGAAGGACTTTCTGGTAAATCTGACTGGGTGGCGCAGATGATGATCACCAAGAATCACAAAGGATTTACAGGGAAACGGGCTATACGTTTCCATATGATCCATAAGATCATGAAGATCATATGGGTATGAAGGGTAGACTCACCGTTACTGTGTTGGCTGTCAGGGAGGGGGCGTGGCTGTCGGTCCCTGGCTGATTGCTCTGTGTGTGTGTTGCTGTGTACAGCGCCAAGGCGTGCTCGCCCACCGTGCTTGGTCCTGTATAGTCTGCTGGCTGGTGAGCGTGGGGCGTTGCATACTCGGCTGGAATGCCATTCTGTGGTGGAGGGGGGTACTGGGCCGGTGGGAAGGGTTGGGCCATGGCTTCAGGGGGAGCTAGGGCCTCATGGTTGCCCTGCATGGAGAGATAGAAGGAACACAGCACCAGACCAAAAGGTGAAATATCTTATTAATGTTTTGTTAAACCGTATTATACATTCAAATCCATTACTTAATTTAATCTATTTACATTTGATGTCAATAACGACCACACTTTTTTCTTGAATGGCCAAAGCTTTACATCCAAACAAGGTAGGCTGAATTCTGATCAGGGGCTGCATCGTTCCTCAACTCATCAGTTTTGAGAATAAAACCACAGTATTGCCAATAATTGAGTCTCTTTGGCTGTAGTTGAAGTTAGGGCCCTATGGCATTATCTAAAGGTTCTTACAAACTCTGCCTCAGAGGACTGTGTGCGACAATTTTAATTTTGAACTTGCCTCAGAATCCTTTTCTTTTTTATGATTTATGATTTGAACAACTAAGTGGTAGACAAGCATGTCCAAAAACTGAGTTATCACAAATCATTGTTTGTTTGCATTATTTGACAATTTTGCTGAGCCACAGTATTCCTGTTAATAATAATTTCAATCCAACCTGAATCACTAAGCAGATCTTGGCATGATGGGTTTGTCTCCTGAAGCAAAATGTTCGTAATGCCACTAATGTCTCAGTCAACATTCTACGTATACATCCTTGGCCAACTGGAGCGTACTTCTTGTAGAAGTCTAACTAAAATCACACTAATCTCCAGCTTTCTCCACTTTGTGATTCTCAAGAACCAGTTTGACTGTTAATTTTTGGACTTAGCAGACGAGGGTTAAAGTTGTTATATACAACTTCGCCAATAAATAATTGTTGTATCCATATAATAATCCATGTTTTTTGTGACTTTTTACCTTTGATCACATGATAGCTCTCTGCAATATCACATATGACCACCTGTTCATATTTACACTGGGTCACATGATGACAAAGTGACCCATTCAGTCTTTAAGGATGATGGAACCAAGGAATTTGGTTGATATTTTATATTTTACGAGAAAACAAGAGGTAGAGAGACATTTACAAAACAGTAGAATGGTAATGGAAATAGCAGCTTTCTAAGCCTCTGGCACTCAAACAGCACACTAGATGTCATCATTCATCCATTTGCACACCGTCATACAAGGTGCCACCTTATTATCAGGAGCTATTCTAAATGCTCATTCACTAGTGTTGTTACCTCCGACCCTCCTGCTTCGAAGCTTGTGTCGAAATATGAACCAGTGCAAGGCGAAGCAAACGTATCGGTGCTTGGTTCGTTCGCTGCTGATCACGTGATCAGTGACGTCCGAAGCTTCGGTCCGGCACGCAGTCACGTGACCGCTTCGATTTCATTCAAATCGGCCCGAAACAGGGTTCGGGCTTGTCGGTTTGATACAGTTAAAGTCAGTGTTGTTGTAGTAGTCGTAGTAGTAGTAGTAGTAGTAGTACTAGTAGTAGTAGTGGTAGTACTAGTAGTAGTAGCAGCAAAGAGCAAATTTCCAATGGAAGTTGTAGCAAAGAGAGGTCGCTCCGAGATGTGGGAGCACTTCAATTTGATTTCCTCTAACAAGGTTGGCAATAGGCAGGCAAAGTCTGTCATTTGTATTGTGTTTATTTTTATTGTGGAGACCACCAGATATTTGGCTGAACCAAACGTTCCACGAAGTGAAGACCCGCTAAATTATTGGGTCAATATTTGTCTATTTGTGTCAGCACGTAATCTTATGAGCATTCCTGCCTCATGGTGCCGTGTGAGCGTGTTTTTTCTAAGGCAGGGGAAACAGGATCTACAAAAAGAAAACGACTCAACCCCAATACTGTGGCAAAATTGTGTTTCTCAATAAAATCAATAATAATGTCCCATCCCACGTGTCCACAAGCACCTCAATATCCTCTCATAAGAAACCTGTCCAAAAGCACAATCACTTCCCACATTCCACATTAAACATTTGCACTATAGGTTTTCAACAGCAGAGGTCATAGAGTTTGCGATACATTGAATGAATGAACCTTTTTCCGTTACAATTGGCTGGAAAGCTTCACTGGTTCAGAAAGCTTCACTTTGCCATCACTATCATTCACACATTCATACATAGATAGCAAAGTCTTTGGGAGTAAACAACATCAACATGAGAAATGGTGGTACCCCATCAGCATTAACTGCAGATCTTCTGAATAGCTACCTCTTTCGGACCATCAGGCCGCGCCTCAGAAGGAGGCACGGCCTGAGCCAAAGAGCCCAGGGAGGAAAACAAGGCGGCACTGTACTCTAGTCAGAGATATGTTGAATGCCAACGTCTAGTACAGCAGTCCTCAACCTTTTTTGTTTCCTGTCGTGGCGGATAAACACAACAAAATAAAATTACCGTACCTAGAATTACAGTATGCGATAAACCCGTATTTAAGTACCACACTGTCTGTTAAATGAAGCTTTCCAGTTTTGGGTGCTTCTTTGTCTCCTCAGGGCCCTTCTTCCCTTTTCCAAAGCAGCTCTCCAAACATGTGGGTTTTTTTGCTAATTTTTCGCTAGCTTGCGGGCTAAAGTTTTGCTGTAATTATTAAGTAACCGAGGAAAATTTGCCTAAAGGTGCCTAGAGTTACAAGCGCAATCTGGTAATTTTTCAAAATAGTGAAAAAAACAATAGTGATTTATTCTTTCTGTGCAGCCCGGTAGCAAATGGCCACGGGATCGGTACCGGTGCTCGGCCCACTGGTTGGGGACGACTGCACTGATGTAGTATATATATTGGCGAGTGACTGTTAAGCAGTATTAAGACAATCACAAGCAAGCACAACATACAATGCCAACTCTTTTTTCTCGGACTAAGATGAAAATAAAGCAGTCGCCATATTGATTTCTTGAGATGGAATCTGTTGGGTTAGATGTATGGTGCTCCCTTTACTCACTGTTGTAACTGGGGGGACCTGTGTTCCCTTTACTCACTGTTGTAAGTGTGGGGGGACCTGGGTTCACTTTAACCCTATCTGCGCCTATCTGTTCGCATGTAAGGGTGTGTGTGTGTGTGCGTGTGTTTGAACATGTTTTTGCGTGTCTGTGCATGTGTGCATGTGCGTGTGTTTGCACACACTGGGATCGTCGTGGCGCAGGGGGTAGAGAGGGTGTGCTGGGAACCACAAGGTTGGTGGTTTGAGTCCCGGCTGGCCCATGTCCCATGTCCCATGTTGAAGTGTCCCTGAGCAAGACACCTAACCCCTAATTGCTCCCCGGGCAAAATGTAAGAGCCATGGGTTTAAAGTGTAATGTAAGTCGCTTTGGATAAAAGCGTCCGCTAAATGACCTGTAATGTAACGTAAAGGCATTGTGCAGGTATGTGAGTAGGTGTGCCTGCGCATGTGTGTCTGAGATTGTTTGATCAGCCTCAGTGGCTCTCGGCCCCCATTGTCATTAGTTGTCTCTGTCAACGTGGAACAATAAAGTTGTGGTGATGGGAGAGTAAAGGACCCACACAGTTTCTCAATGGCTCGATCTCAAACACACACGCACAATATTTTGAGATTTTTGTGTGTGGACTCTATCTATCAAGATCATTACAAAGTATCACCCTCACACATGTACACAGACACACAGGGCGGTGTAGCTGCAGGGGCCCAGCAGAAAGCTGGGTAATGGTTAGTAAAGGTGGAGAGAAGCCCTGGGCTTCTTCAGAAAATGGATGAAGAGAAGGGAATCAATATTAGACACACTGCTGCTGTGCAAGAATATGTGTGTGTGTTTGTGTGTGTGTGTGGGAGAGAGAAATAGAGAAAGAGAAACTGTGTGAATGTTTTATTTACTCTGCAATGAATGAACCAATGAATACACACATTTACATTGATCTGTAAGTGAGCCTTTTGATCCCCTAACATGTTGCCTTCTTCTGCCATATATAAGGAATCACAGCACAGTTCATCCAAAAAGTCTTTCTTCCTATAAGGTTATTTTTTAGAAACTGATTATGGAACACTTCTTATTGGTTGGTATTCATTTATTCTCCTAATAAATGGATGGAGCGTTTGGTCAAATGAATCCATGTTGCTGCAGATTGGAGCTTTCTGTCTTGCATCATTGGTGTACAATGTGTTTTTAATTATATTCACGGTAGACCCCTTTCCCTGTGTTCTTGCCATGTGCTGTTACCCCGGTTCATTATCTGCTGACACCAGAAACACAGCTCTCTTTTGACCACAAGAACATTTTCTAATGTTTGCTGCAGTAAAGCAAAGAATGACCATTTATTCCATGAAATAAACATTGTACTAGTCAGAGCTCTGTGACAGCTGCACTCTATTACCGCGCTGGAATCCACCGGTCAATCTTTGTTCCTACCCTCACCATGAAGGATGGGTCATGACCCAAAGAACTAGGTCACGGGTACAAGCGGCCAAATGGGTTTCCTCAGGAGAGTGGCTGGCGTCTCCCTTAGGGATCGGGTGAGAAGCTCAGCCATTCCTGAGGAGCTCGGAGTAGAGACGCTGCTCCTTTGCGTCGAAAAGAGCCAGTTGAGGTGGTTTGGGCATCTGGTGAGGATGCCCCCTGGGCGCCTCTCAGGGAGGTGTTCCAGGCACGGCCAGCTGGGAAGAGGCCCCGGTGAAGACCCAGGACTAGGTTGAGAGGAGTCAGTATACTTTACTCACAACTGACTGGACGGGACAAAACGTGAAAAAGGGGCAACTGGAAAAAGATACCATGGACATGATGTTCCACTAAATGAATGAAATTGAACAAAAGGGTCACTTAATGGTCTGCTTAGAAAGAGGGTGTGTCGGTGGATGGTCAAACCTCCACACATGACCACTCCACGAGTCCCGTGTGAAGATAAAAGTCAACATGTCAGATGACACGTTACAATGTCTAGTTTCATGAGTCACACAATTTGTAATCAAGCAAGTTCCAGGATATCCAACACGCTCCTTTTCTAGCCCTAACCAAGAGGTTTGGCTTGCAAACAAAAATGTATTGGTCTTGAGAACTCATGTAAAGTTGTACACGTTTATTGTTGTGTACTTCTACAAACGTTCAGCAGCAATCAGTGCACAGCCTATAGGCAA